CTCAAACAGACATCATAGCACTTACCTTGTATGAATCTTGTGAGATTTTTCCCTCCTCCTATGTATGGCGTCTGACATGGTAACTATCAATAAGAAAACGACTTCCACTCTGTGCTCCATTTGCTTTGAGCCTGTTGCCCATTATGTAACAGCTTTCAAATATGAGGAGTCAATCAGCCCAGACAGCTTGGGAGGGTGCTAATAAATTAATTATTGTACTGATTTTAACTCCAGATTGGAATCTCCTGGTCGGCAGGAGATTATCCTTTCCTGTTATCCCCTTCTACTTTATTGTTACAGTACTTACATTTTCCACAAAACCTGTACTTAACTGACATTTGTTCAATTTAGTGGATTTTAACACAAAAGATTGAGGATTTCCAGTCCCCAGATAGACTGAACCAGGCTGTACTTTTCAGCAGGCAACAATCTTCAGTCTCCTTAAATTAAACCATTTAACAATATGCATCTTTGGGTTGTAGGATTACCAGTTTTAATTTTCTTCTTTATAGTTTTCAGTATGTTACAATTTTCTGTCATGTGCATATATTACTTTTGTGGGCAGAAAAAAAGTCAGTTAAAAAATAATCCTACACATTTGGTGCTTCTTCCTGTTTATCTACTTCCCCTTGTCTTCTCATATGTTTTTAATCCTTGCCCTGATCTCCAAGCCGGGCAATGAATCCCTCCCATGAACCCCTGCTCAGAAAGTGATTTTCTAGTGGAAATTACAGGGCCTTTGGAATCAGATGGTCCAGTGTTTGAATTCCAGCTCAGTATGAATGTGGGCAAGTATCATACCTTCTTATCTGTAAATGAAAGTAACACCTACCTTCTAGATTGTTGTGTCGTTTGGGTCAACAGCTTCACAAACTTTAATTTGTATATGGATCACCTGGAATGTTGTTAAAATTCAGACTCTGGTTTAGTAGGTCTGGATTGGGCCCAAAAATCTGCATTTCTTTTTGTTGTTGTTGTTTTACTGTTTATTTTTGAGACAGAGAGAGACAGAGCGTGAGCTGGAGACGGGCAGAGAGAGAGGCAGACACAGAATCTGAAGCAGGCTCCAGACTCTGAGCTGTCAGCACAGAGTCCAATGTGGGGCTAGAACTCACAAACCATGAGATCATGACCTGAGCCAAAGTCAGATGCTTAACCGAATAAGCCACCCAGGTGCCCCTGAAAGTCTGCATTTCCAAGAATTCCTAGGTGCTGCTGATGCCAGTGATATATAGAACACACTTTGAATTACAAGGGATTAATGACATAACATTTGAAAAAGCCCTGGCACAAATGTCCTATGCTCTTGAGTGGGCCTGACTTTCCCAGCTCTTTGGATGGGCCCATCTCAGAAAACTGCTGACTGAGATCCACTCAGGTACAACCCAACCCATTTGCACTTTCACCTCTTCCGATTTTCTCCACACTTCAATATCATTCTTTTTCTTTCTGTTACAAGCACTTCATTCTTCTTTTGTCTAAGAAAAATACAGGGTTTTTTTTAAACAGCTTTATTGAGGTATAATTGACATACAATAAATTACATTTAAAGTGTACAATTTAATAAATTGTAAAACATGTATACATCCATGAAATAATCGTCAAATTCAAAATAAACTCGTATCCATTAACTCCAAAGTTTCTTTATGCTCCTGACTCTCCCCTCTCGGCGAGCCCCTGACCCCCAAACCACTCATCTACTTTCTGTTGCATAGATTAGTTTGCCTTTTCTAGAGTTTTATATAAACAGAATTGTACAGTATCTACTCTTTCTTGTCTGGCTTCTTTTTCAGCATTAATTATTTCATCCATGTTTTTGTGTGTTAGTCCTTCATTCCTTGCTTATTGCTGATGGTATTCCACTGTATGGATATATTCCACAAATTTGTTTATCCAGTCACACTGTTCCTGGACAGTACATGTTTAACCTTTTAAAAAATTGTTAAATTGTTTTCCTTTTTAAAGATATTTTTTAATGTTTATTTATTTTTGAGAGAGAGTGAGACAGAGCACCAGTGGGGGAAGGGCAGAGATAGAGGGAGACACAGAATGTGAAGCAGGCTCCAGCCTCTGAGCTGTCAGCTCAGAGCCCGATGCGGGGCTTGAACTCACCAACCGTGAGATCATGACCTGAACCGAAGTTTGACTCTTTATTTATTTATTTATTTATTTATTTTAAATAGTTTATTGTCAAGTTGGTTTACATATAACACCCAGTGCTCATCCCAACAAGTGCCCTTCCCCATGCCCATCACCCCTCTTCCCCTCTCCCTCACCCGCATCAGCCCTCAGTTTGTTTTCAGCGTTCAAGAAGCCTGGCTCTTAACTGACTGAGTGACCCAGGTGCCCAAGTTGTTTTCCAAAATAATTATATCATTTTACATTCCCATCATGAGGACATGAGAGTTCCAGTTCTTCCACATTCTTGAAAATATTTACTATTTCGATTTTTTTAAATGTTTATTTTTGAGAGAAAGTGTGAGTTGTGGAGGGGCAGAGAGAGAAAGAGAGAGAGAGAGAGAGAGAGTGTGTGAGTGACAAAGGATCCTAAGCAGGCTCTGTGCGGACAGCATACAGTCTGATGTGGGGCTTGAACTCATGAACCACGAGATCATGACCGGAGCCAAGGTTGGACACTTAATCAAGTAAGCTACCCAGGTGCCCCCAAATATTTACTATTTTGAATAAATATTCACTGTAAAAAATTTTAGGGGAATTATATAGGCCAAAAAAAAAAAAAAGTCCAGTTACTATTCCTACGACTGGGAGATAACACTACTAAACTGCCACGTTTGTAGATTTCCACAAGTTTACCCTCCTGGACAAATGATCTCAATTAAAAAAAAACAAACTTTATATCTCATTTTCATTCTTATTACTCAAAGCATGTCATAAATGGAAATTCAAGGAAATTCAGGAGTTCCCCAAACACAGAAAACTGAAAAATATACTTTCTGTCTTTACTGCATTTTATTTTATTTTTTAATTTTTATATTTTTGTCTTTACTGCATTTTAAGGTTGCTTTTTAAACTGGTTTTCTAAGTGAATAGGTCAGACACTATTTATAATGAATTTTAAGTACAGTATTTTTTAATATTTTTTTTATTTTTTATTTATTTTTGATAGAGAGATAGAGACAGCATGAGCAGGGGAGGGTCAGAGAGAGAGGGAGACACAGAATCTGAGGCGGGCTCCAGGCTCTGAACTAGCTGTCAGCACAGAGCCCAACGCGGGGCTCGAACCCACGAACCGTGAGATCATGACCTGAGCTGAAGTCAGACACTTAACTGAGCCACCCAGGCGCCCCAGTACAGTATTTCTCTGTGATATAGTAAACAGAGAATTAGAGATGAAACATAGCCATGAGTCTTCCTATACTCTCAGGGCACTAGAAAACACTTCAACACTAACATTTCAGGGCTTAAGAGCCTTGAATGAGTTACCCCCCCCCCCCCACACACACATGGGAGAAGCAAGAATGGCTTTACTCATAACTTTATGCATGACAATTATTCTTATACATCAAGAGAGTTATAGATTGAGCTGGTAGGAAAACTAGGTATGTAACAACAATAATCATAGTACATTTGTTAAACATTATAAAACACTCTGCTAGGATCTGTGTGAGGCTCTCTGTGTATTATTTCTTTAGATCTGTGGAGACTATTCTTTTTCTAGTTCATACATGGCTTCCACAATAGGGGTTATTACAAGATCTAAAAATATGTAAAAGAAATCTATAACAAAACATATTTGTTGGCTCCTTGGGGAAATCACAACCCAACTCCCTTGAACTGAAAACCACGGTGATTTCCAAGATCTGTCTCTACTGCCCTCATGGTTGAGACAAGATTGGTGGACTGAGTTGTCATGTGATGTCAGCGTCTTTTTTATGGTATCTCTGGAGTGTAAGATTTCTTAGTGGGTCTAACATTGTTAAGCTCTTACAGTCAGCAGGTTTGACTTCTTTGGCTGGGCCTATGGCTGATGCAATCCATATTCTCACTAAAATTTCAGAGCCTTTATTTTCCAAGTGTCTAAAGCATGAATGACAATAGCATCAGGCAAGTTTGAATCCTAGTCTCAGCTTTTGTTATCCCTTATTCATAAAAATTAATGGGATGATTGCTATCTCCAGCTGTTTATTCACATATTTACTGGTTTGTTCATTCAATCATTCGATCCATTTATGTAATACCTACTACGCGTCAGGCGCCATTCCAGTGTGGTAACTTGAAGGGAATCATGTACCTAAAGGGGTCTGTAAATTCCAACACTCTAGACAGTTACTGCTTTGGCAGTGGTTGTTTTTCCTCACAAATCAACAAAACTAAGAAAATTACCTAAACAACAGCAGGAAGATACAGGGAAATTTTTTCTTGGCACAGGGCTTTACAAAAGCAAACATGGCCTGAAAGAATTCAGGAAGCAAGAAGGTCCTTGTCCATTCTGGACAGTTCTCGGAGCTGTCTTCAGGAGACCTCGAGGTTCTGGACCGTTTTTCTTACTCAAAGAATCCGTAACCCTACATTATATTTCCGGGGCCATAGTTATTAATCGAAGTTCTTATTCTGCCCCGCACTATTCATCCTTTGTCCACGCTCTTAATCTTTCTGGGCTTCAGTTTTCCTGAATGAAAACCACAGGTCCTAAGGTGCTGCTAGGGACATGGTAAGCAAGTCACTCTGAGGGCTGCCTGGTTCTCAGAGAGGGCTCTGGACCAGAATACGTCCAGGCCGAAGTTCTAAGATAGGAGGCCCTCCCAACAAGCTCGGGCGCGCACCCCAAAGGGGAGGGCGCGAGTTTATAGACAGCGAAGCCACTCGGCCCAGCCCAGGTCTTTCTAATCATTAAGGGACGTTATAGGAAAATGAAACCGAAAACGGGGAAGTCCCCCTCTCTAACCTGGCCCGGCACAGCGCGCCAGGAGACAAGTGACGGCCCCTGCCAGAAGCATTCTGATTGGCGGTGCAGGCGTGGACTATAAGTAGAGGCGCAGGGCTGGCTGCCCAGTCTCGCATCTGGCGCCGCTCTGCTAGCGATGGCGCTGTCCGCGGTCGTCGTCCTCCTCGGGCTGCTCTCTCTGTCCTACCTGGATGCCATCCAGCGTGAGTGTCCCCTCTTGCCCTAGCCCTTCTTCCCCTGTGCCCCGATCTGTTTGGCTTTCTCGGCTTTAACTTATCCACCCTACGCGGAGGACTAGCTCCGGGCTTGGTCTCTGGGTGGTGAAGTGGATGGTGGTCGGGCAGCGGGAGGGGGTAGGAGCCCAGGACCTAAGTGTCCTTTTTCTTCTTCGAGAGGGAGGCACGGGGGGGACGCCTTCGCGCGCCCGTGCCAGGTGGGTCAGGACAAAGTTTCGGGTTGATGAGAGACTTCGGAACGACCGAGGTGGGGGAGGGTTTCTCTTCCGCGTAACCTCTAGCTTCCCGAGAGCGGCTGCCAGGGAGGGCTGGAAGGCGGGTCCTAAGGACTCGGAGTCCCCGGTGGTGAATGGGTGGAGACAGCAGTCTGGGCTTGCGGGAGGCACCGCGCGGGTACTTCGGTTCCCTGCAACTCTGCTCGGCTCCGGTCGCGGATTCCCCCCGAACGCCCGGTGGGTTCGCCCGCCGCACAAACAGGGGAGGGATTCGCACGTGGCATTTGTAGCCTGCTTTGAGATGTTACAAAGCGCTTTCACATCATTTAATTCACGTTGCTGTTACGTGTCGCTTTTAATAATCATAAGAGCTACTCGGTATTGGTAGGGAGCGTGCCGGGGACATTTTGTGCTTTATGTCACCTGATTTCGAGATGAGCTTACAAATGTAAATATAATGGTTATCAGCAACTCACAGATAAAGGGAGACACCAAGCGTTTAAGTAACTTAAACACACAACATGGGGGAAATGGCAGACAATCGAGGGGGACTAGAGCATTTTTGGGGGGAATGAGCTCTTTGGCTGCACCGCCTGTGGTTTTCCAGTATCTTCTTGTCACCTCCCGGTGTGAGATTCTTGCTAGCAAGCTGGAGAGCACTGGGGCCTTGTTGCCTTTTCTTCACAGAGGGCTTCCTCTTTGGCTCTTTGCCTGGTTCCTTCCAAGATGAACTAAGCCTCTACTTTCTGTTTTGAAAAAGCAAAGGTTTACAAGTCAGGGAGATTGTAAAACCAGTGATAAGGATAGTCAACATAGTTAGCCAGGTTGACTGTCAGGTACCCTTTAGATCTTGAGCATGTTCTAAATACCTTGCAATATACCAGACCTTCTCACATTTTCCCGCCTCTGTGAAGCGGGATCTTTTGATCATGAAATAAAGGTATTTATAATTTATTTACAAATTAAAGCACAACTACTATTATTGATAATTGCTGGTAACTATAGAAATCTTAAAAAAAAAAAAAGATAGCAAACTGACATTAAAAGAAAAATCTTACTTTGAAAATTTCCAGAGTAATACATGCCATGAATAGATCATTTCTAAAAGATACACAAGAAATGAGTAATGATGATTGCTGCTGGGAGACGGGGGGACTAAACCCCTTGTGTGGGTTTTGTTTCACTGTGGACATAAATTGATTTTTCAGTTAAGCTTCAGAAGCTCAACTAACTGTCCCAAAAGTCACAGAGCCAGTAAGTGGCTGAGCCCAAAAACAAACCAAGGCTTATCTGATACTCATCTTCCTCTTAAAAGAGATTATTGTGATGTTCTGGCAGAACCCTGCGTGGCTCCCTCAGAGAGAGAATTCTAGGCCTGATGAACCTATGCTTTGATTCTTGTGGCATTTATTATCCTCTAATTATTAGAAACTCCAATATAAAGAGCTTTCTGATTTGTCTTCACTTCAACTTTATGAAAAAAAAATTCAGGGCATCACTGGGATCCCCAGTGTAGCTCCTGTTGGGGCTGGTGATCTTTCCTTTGATGATGGGGTTTTTCTAGACAGATGTATCTGGTCAGAATAGCCTGGCACTCCTCTCTACCACATTCTGGACATGGAGGAGCTGCCTTTTAGTAATCATGTACCCTGCATGTATGTGTATTTAAAAGTGAATTTTACCCACAAATTAGTGTCAGTCTGTATACTTAGTAATACTTCTCTTCATTGGATGAAAAATATGGAAGTAGAATTTATGATAGTTTCTTTCCATATCCTCAGGGAAGATCTAGTTGTATTCCCATTTTGTGAACACATATTTTATAGCAGCAATGTATTTCCAACATGGCTAGTTGTAGCAGTCACTTGAGGGCACTAATTAAAAATGCAAATCCCAGTCCCACTCTTAAACACATTACTCCACTTAGTCGTAATGGAGAATATGTTTTTTCCCTTTTGCCACAGTCTTCACCCTTCCCTAATGTTCTTACGGAGCCCATTTCACTCATTTATGGTATTTTCTGACTTCTGTAGGCATTTAAGTTTTGTTTGAGGTAATACTAAGAACAACATGTGCCACTTATAAAGCAATTGGTGTGTGCCAGGAACTATTCTATACACTTAATACATATTGAGAAGTCAGATGGGTGTGGGTCTAGGCAGGAGCATGAACCAAAAAAGAAAGTAATAAACATTACAAAAAAAAAAAAAGATACGCTGAAACAAGGTGCAGTAACATGAGTCTTTTGATATGGCTATTATGGAGAGTATATGAAATGAGAAATGAAGTTTGAAAAGGAGGTGGGGCCAAATCATGAGGACTCGTGAGACATGTGTTGAGGAATTATATGGGTGCTGAGAAGCCATCAAAAGTTCTTGAGAGTCTCAACAGAAAGCTCTAAAGATTTGACAGAAACTCCAGCGACAGACAATGATACTACTAGAAATCTGTAGGAAAAAACCAAAAAGCCACGAGTAGAGAAATTATGTGGAAAAGATACTAAGTCACGGTTTCTGCCTCAAAATGGAGGTAGCCTTTTGGAAAAGTGGACACTCATTTGGCCAGAGTGGAAATGGAATTGGGAGAAATCAGTGATCAAATTTAAACATTTGTTGCCCGATCTAGCTTTAGACCAAGGTAGCCCCGAGTGAAATAGCCTGCAATTTTCATTTGTCTTTCCCTGATGTCCCTCAGATTCTCCAAAGGTTCAGGTTTACTCCCGGCACCCAGCAGAGAATGGAAAGCCAAATTTCCTGAACTGCTATGTTTCGGGGTTCCACCCACCACAAATTGATATCACCTTGATGAAGAATGGAAAGAAAATGGATGCAGAACAGACAGATCTGTCCTTCAACAAGGACTGGACTTTCTACCTTCTGGTTCACACTGAATTTACTCCCACTGCCAATGATAAGTTTAGCTGCCAGGTGAATCATACAACTCTCCCCGAGCCCAAGGTCGTTCTGTGGGGTAAGTTTTTAAGTTCTTTCCTTAGCTACTGCAGTTGTATCTGAGAATAGGCACGGCTTGAAGATGCTTTGATATAAAAAAATCTGCATACTGTAATTGATAGGGTACCTTATGAAAGTTCTGATTAGTGGCTCCTTGAGAGAGCTCTGCACAGCATGATCCCTGAAACAGTAGTTTCCCTGTAGCAAAAACAGGGAGCAGCAGTAGCCAGCACTTGCACAAACGCACATGACAAATTCCTCATGTTTCTTACCTGCTGGCTTCTTTGGCCTTTCCTGACAGTGTCATGGGTATGTAGAACCATCAAAAGCCTCAGGGAGGCACAGGCCTTTGTAAGACCTGCTCTCCTAGTTCCTTACCCAGTACTCCCTGGATTGGTTGGGATCTGAGCCTAGTAGGCAAGGCTGGGCCCTGCTGAGTATTCATGGTTAGGGACAGCAGGCTGTTCTTACATCCTTAATTGTAACAGTTTCAGACATCTGTTAGCACATAGTATTTTAAAAGTAAAACTTACTTTGGGTAAATTCCTAGCAGTGCTATTGCTGGGTCATAAGGGAGTTCTATTGTTAGTTTCCTGAGGAACCTCCACACTGTTTTCCAGAGGGGCTGTACCAGTTTACATTCCCACCAACAGTGCAGGAGGGTGCCCGTTTCTCCACATCCTCGCCAGCATCTAGAGTTCTCTGATT